GTGTGTGTGTGTGTGTGTGTGTGTGAGAGAGAGAGTGTGTGTGTGTGTGTGAGTGTGTGAGAGAGCGTGTGTGTGTGAGAGTGAGTGAGTGTGTGTGTGAGCGTGTGTGTGTGTGAAGACATTTGTATTTGGACTCAGCTCCCTTTTTCTGTAATTGGACAGACATTCACAGCGTGGCCAAAGATATTGCCTCCATCAATGGTGTCGATCTTTTGAAGATCCGGAACATTCTTCTGGAGAAGTGGTTGTGTCAAACAGGGCAGTCGAATGGCAAGGTAAGTGCCATATGTCACAAAATCACTGCAAAATCTCTTGAGGAACAAACATGTATTTGCTACAGTAGATCTCCTTATTGTTGTCCCGTGTTTACAGAGTAGAGGAGCACTCAAACTGGTTCACACAGTGATAACCTCTTTTTTTACATTAAAGTACTTTAATATTCATTATACAGAGACGAGATGAAAAGAAAATACCATCTAAACTTTTCTAAAGACAGTCAGTTCCCCTCAGAGACAGTCATATAAACTCCCACCACCAACTGTATCGCGATTCGTTTAACATCTCAACCCACTTCAATCCTCACATATTTGTGTCAGTGTTCAGCCGGCTCGCGGTGCATCGTTACACAGTAATGGAAGCTCGTCATCAGAAGAGACGGGGCGGGTTATGAACGCGCAATATGAGTGAGCTTCATCTGATCGTGATCGCGGAAGAGAAAACAGACTGAGAGCGCTGGAAGACACTAATGCTCATCAGATCGCATAATTCAGAATAGAAATGATGATTCTGTCTAAAGAAATGTCAACTGAATATGTGTAAAGAGATCAGTATTTCTTCAAATATGCACACTTTTGGACTAAAAGCCCTAATGGACGCTGTTCAGGGACACTTGCACGTGACTGTCTGAGTTTATAATTCTCCATGCAGAAAAAACCCTGTAAGAACTGCAGCGTATAATTAAATCTGCACAATAAAAACAGTACAAAGCAGTATAACATAAATTAAGAACAACAGTTTCTCTCTTTCGTGTATTACCGTATTGACCCGAATATAAGACTATGTTTTTTTCTTGGAAATACATCTGAAAAAACGCGGTCGTCTTATATTCAGGGTCTAGACTTTGACATGTCAATAATACACCCACAACACTAGGTGGCGCCAAATACACATAAAATGAGTGTGCCATGAAATACGTAATGTAATGCGTGTTGTAAAGATCGCCAGTAAAAACAAAAGAAAAAGAAAACCTTACAGCTGCACGAGTCGTGACTGTCACGTTAGCCTGACGGGACCAAACTCCCTTTGTGATTTTAAAACGTAAGACAGTACCCAGATTTGAAGACTACAGTAAGATTTAACTTCTACTGTTAATAAGATTTTGGCAGGCTACTATTAGATGGATAGCCTAAATGTCCTAATTCAGATGGGCTACCTCTTTTTTTGTTTTTTTTTAATGGTATATCAAAAAGTGTATATTTTTAAAATGTGATTGTTGGTACATTTTACCAGTTTTTACCATACTTTCAAAACAAAAATTAAAATAGGAAAAATATGAAAATAATTGAAGACAAAATGTGTTTTACTGAGAAAAAACAAGATTTTGTTTTTAAAAAAACCTTCAGCCTACATCTGGAAAAAGGGGGGTCGTCTTATATTCGGGCCAATACGGTATATACTCTATATGTCATTGTGTGCCAATCACAAAACCCAAACCAAAAGAAGCATTTATCCTGAAACGGACACTTTTCCTACACCTGCTCTGTAAGGTTCAGCATCAGACTGTCTCCGTGTGAAAGAGCACCGCTTCACACCTTTCTGTTTCCACCATCAAGCTCCTGAAGCACTGGATCCGACTGGACTGAATGAGTCTCACTGCTGGAGTCTAAAAGAACAAAAAATAATGTAACAAACCATAAAGCAGTGTGTTTTAGAGCTGCAGAATACACACAAATCTCCATTAATCCATTTATTATTATTATTAGAAAAAAAATGTTTTTTAAAATACACGCCTTTTTGGGATTTGAACCCGAGTCGTTGACAGCGCTGACTAACTCTCTACCGCTCGACTGTGGGTTAACTTGACAAACAAAGTTCTCTTTTCCAGAGAGACGCGCTCTTCATTCCTCTCACTTCACAATCATAAAAATAATCAGTGGCGTCATGCAGATCAGTTTTTGTGTTTATTATAGTGCAAAGAAGCCGCATCCTAATTGAGAGCCATATTCAGTTCAGCAAATTCATCAGACTGTGAGCAAGGCGATCCTCCCGAGTGAGAAAATAGCTGTCTAATAACTTCACAAGCCAGATATAAAATGTTTAGGACAGCTGTTGTGGTGCTTATTTTTATAACAGTAATAATGATAATATTAAAAAAAACACCACCCCGCTAAAAAAAAAAAGTCTGAATTGTTTTGTTGAATAAGCCAGATCTAACTGTGGTTCTCTCATGGTTACTTGTAACTTTCTAAATCAGTATTCTAACACTATAAATACTATAGACTGTAAATACTACTAATACATATAATAAATGTGTGCACTCTAAGATGTATGTAGAGCCTTCCAGTCAACATTAGAGCGCCACCCTCAGGCTGAACGACGCAAGCACACTAGACCTCTGGCAGAAGCGTTGTGCATGAGTTCAGTTATTTGAATGTTTCGCTGGTAATCATGAGTTAGTCATATAGCTGACCGTCTGACCCAGAATCTGCCTCACCGTAATGTATGTTCAGGAGACACCACTGGCTGTCTCTCTAATAAATGATCAAACTCAGGACAGAAGAAGCGTGACTGCCTGAGTTTAGCTGCTCTTTATTAAAAAAAAAGATCACACATGCAAATTACAAATGGCTGGACCAATATAAGAGATGCAATATACAAAAAATAAATAAATACAGCATGTATAAAACAGTGCTTTAAATCTTTTAGGCACGCTAGGTCTGTTTAACAGTAGCATTCAAAAAAGAAAACCTGTCAATTTCACTAATTATGGGAGTAACTTCTGCTGAAGTGTAAACCGTCACAAACTCGGTGCAGTGGGTACTATTACACATTCTGTGTTGGCGACAAATTTAAATGGATACTTCACCCAAAATTAAAATTGTTATCATTTATCTTTAGTTCTGTGGAGTTTTTTTTTGAAAGCCATTATGTCTGTAGCTTGTCCATCCAAAACCCCAGCTGGATTATATCTGTGTACTTATCATGATTTTGCATTCTTAGACGAGACTGATATTCATGCCTCCTTTGTTGTAGGACAATCATCAGGACAGTGTGACTAATATAAATGATGATCCTGATCTCATGAGGTACTAAATATTTTGGTATTATACCACATAATATGATGTAACAGTACCAAATGTTTTTACAATGGTCCTGTAACATGGTAGATGTCCTGTTGAAGTATTTCTCTCTCTCTGTTTCTTTTCCCGTTCTTCTCTTTGTACTGCAGAGTTGTTTACTTGCTGCAGATGCATCCTATGGATATAAGTGCTCGGTTGCTCAGTCCCATCCTGACAGCACAGACATGGGTGAGTAGTGCGTGTGTGTGTGTGTGTGTGTTCAGTGTGTGTTCAGTGTGTGTGTGTGTGTGTGTATGTGTATATATATACACACACACACACACACACACAGAGTGGGTCTAGAAAAGAATCTCCCCCTTTAAAATAATTAAATTTTGTTGATTTGCAGCCTGAAATGAAGACGGACACAGTTTTTGTTTTATCAGCTGTATTTGCTCAGTGCAACTTATAACATCCAAGTGAAAGATGAAACGCCAACTTGACTATTACCCAAAACTGAGTGTTGGGTAATAGTCAGTTTTAGTACCATTTTAATATGCAATGGATTATCAAAATTAAAACAACACAAAGAACATAATATTTTCAGGAAATTATTATCATTAACATAATTTAAGGAAAAAAAAGAAAAAGCTATTGTTTTCATTGTTTTTGACTCATGTAACTGCATTTTAATAAAAGATATTATATAAAGACAAGTAAACGATAATAAATGAACAATTGACCATGATCATGGTTATTAATATTATCACAGTATTGTTAAAATGTGTTGGAAATCATGAATTTTATCTCGAAAACCAACAAACAACAAATAAAATTAGCAGTTTTTGTTTGCATAAACATTAAAAGTAATGATGGCCGGATTTTATACAAACAAAACAAATCTTGGTTGGGTGACTTACAACATGACATGTTATCTACTAACATGTGCTACATGTTCAAATAAATATTTGACAAAAAAAAAAAGTTTTATGAAATTATAAACCTCAGTTCAGTCTTAAACTCGTTTTTAAGAAAATAATAAAAATCATAAATTATAGGCTTTTATCTGCTCCATAAAGTGCGCATGCGCAGTCCTAAGCGCATGTCTCAGAGCGCTGACTGTTTCTTTAGCAACCGGGACGTCTAACGGCAGCTGCAGTGACGCGCTGACTTTACCGATTAGCGATTGGCTCTTTCATTCAGAAGGCGGGGCTTCCTGCTATTGAGCGGCCTTATTGAGTGTTGCATTTTTCCTCATTCAGAACTATACGAGTGACATGTCTTGGGTATTCTATAGTCTTTGGCATTGATGAAGCCTTTTGTCTCCATCTCCTGACTTGTGCCTGTCCACAGCTTTATCCCGGAGATCTTTTAACAGTGCCTTACCACCCAGAGTTGATTGTTTGCTTCAGTTGCTCTACCAAGGACTGAAATGCTCCAGGAAAGCTCTTTTCATGCTGAGCTGATCAAAATGAGCACAGCTCATCACAGGTGAAAGTCAAATGGGTTAGTGTAGGGTGACCATACGTGCCATTTTTCCCGGATGCGTCCTGGACTGTATCATAAATGTTGTTTATTTTGCTCAAATAGCATTAAATAAAGCTTATTTTTCAGGCTAGATCAGCCAGTGCACATGCGCAGTCCTAACCGCACATCTCAGAGCGTTGGCAGTTTTTATAGCAACCGGGACTTCTAACGCAGCTGCAGTGACGTGCTGACTTTACCGATTAGCGATTGGCTCTTTCATTCAGAAGGCGGGGCTTCCTGCTATTGAGCGGCCTTATTGAGTGTTGCATTTTTCCTCATTCAGAACTATACGAGTGACATGTCTTGGGTATTCTATAGTCTTTGGCATTGATGAAGCCTTTTGTCTCCATCTCCTGACTTGTGCCTGTCCACAGCTTTATCCCGGAGATCTTTTAACAGTGCCTTACCACCCAGAGTTGATTGTTTGCTTCAGTTGCTCTACCAAGGACTGAAATGCTCCAGGAAAGCTCTTTTCATGCTGAGCTGATCAAAATGAGCACAGCTCATCACAGGTGAAAGTCAAATGGGTTAGTGTAGGGTGACCATACGTGCCATTTTTCCCGGATGCGTCCTGGCCAGGATTTCTATATTGCCTAAAATATCTAGAAGATGAGATTTGTTTGTAATTTCTGAATTTAAATTCATTATGATATTTTTTGTGGGGCACAAAGACTGAATACATTTTTAAAAACACTAATCTTATCTTAATCATTAATCTTAGGGTGACCATACGTGCCATTTTCCCAGAATGCGTCCTGGCCAGGATTTCTATATTGCCTAAAATATCTAGGTTTTGGCTTTGTTTGCGTGTGCAGACCGATCGGTGTATGACATCAAAGTACCATACAGACGGTTATGCTTTCGAAACGCTCTCGAGGTACTTTGATGTCAAACACTGATCGGTCTGAGCCGCACTGCTTTTAAGTCGAACACACCTAATATGTACACGTAATTGCATCGCTTTGACGTAGATCCCGCCTTCTCACACGCCATGATTGGTCCATTATGTACAATGCTTGCATGTTATTGGTCAAACTACTTTTCGATCATTACCTTCAGCAAGCATGAAAACAGGAAAACAAAGCCAAAACAAATCCTGGCCAGGACGCGTCCTGGGAAAATGGCACGTATGGTCACCCTAGGTTAGTGTGCCATTGAGAAGCTGATGAACTGCACCTGATTGAGTTTACAAGTCATTTTTAGGAGGAGCTGATCCTTTTTCCAACTCAGTGATTCTGTTTTTTATTTTTTTCTGACATGTTGGTGTTTTATCTTTCACTTGGATGTTATAAGTTGCAATGAGTATATATAATATATATATACACACACACAGACACACACTCACACACAGACAGACACAGACACACACACACTTTTTTCTTCTCCGTAAAATTTGGCACATTTACTCGGATTTGTATGTAAGACCAAAACTGCATAAGTAAACAAACAAATAAAAACATACATTTAAATATGTATATTCTAAAATAAATATGTATGTTTAGTGTTCTGTGTGAAGTGGCACTAAAACGCTATCTAGAGCAGACGTAAGCAGTGTGTCATGTCGAAAGTAAACCGAACCCATTTTAATCGGTCTACACTACACTCTCACGTTGCACCAAGCTGACATTAGACCGATTCCTCATTCTGTGTCTGATATATTTGCACTACATCCGGCAACAGAACAAATGGATGAGGAACGTCCAGTGAAAACAACTCGAGCTGAAATGACAGACGGGGTGTAATGCTTGCAGTGGTTCATCTACAAATATCAGACAAAGAGGACAGGAGGCGGATATTTAACACAACCCTGATTTAAAAAACCATGTTACTTAACCATTGCTGAATCTAACTAAAACTAAACTGAAACCCAAAAAAACTAACTACTGAGCCCAGCAATTAACATCTGTTGATCTGTGCAGCCCCTGGGAGGATCAGGCCTTCGTTTGACCTTCGAACACCGCAGTCGAGCTCTGCTCTGTCTCACTCACTTAGCAGATGCTGCCACCTTGGAGACACTTTCCAACCAGCCTAGCAGCAAAATCAAGTGAGCTGCATCAACAATATTCTATTCATTTCAACTCTTATTTGTGTTCAGAATAGAACTGTCCAGTGTTAACGCAAACACATTTTTGGCATTTGTTTTAATCATGAATGAATCTGCAGCATTAATGACCATGTACTAATGTTTTCACAGATATTATTTGAAGTGCTACATGTACCTTGCCCAGATGGAGGCCCTGAACATTCCCTATACCTTGGAAATGTTCATCAGCAGCCCCAAGGAAGGCATGATCAAGGGTTTATGGAAGAACCACAACAATGAACCTCAGGTAGATATTGCTACTAATATTGAAACTAGGGCTGCACAGTATATCGAAATAAAATGGATATTGCGAAATGGCTTAGTGCAATTGTAAGTTTGCGGAGGCTGTGATTTCAGAGTGAAGCGTGACATTTACATGCGTGTAGATCATGAATGATTCAGTGTTTCAGCGTCTGAGAACACTTGGTTAATTTACTGTGACTCGAGCTCTTCTGGGATCACGGCAGGACTGGCCTCTGACGCTCGGGACAGTGCTGCAGCGTCACGAAAGCTTAGCAGTTGCATGTGTCTTGTCATTTTAAACATTCAAGTGATTTTAAACCATTCAAGTGAAAGAGAACTTTATTTGGTGTTTGCGTGCTGTTTTCTGTGCCCGCACGTTTAAAACACAGAGAGCCGTCTCTGACGGCACACAAATTTAGTTCTCTTTTACACCATCTTACCCTTGAACAGACAAATACACACAAATTGTGTCAAAATGCCTGTCTTGGCTAGTATCACTTCACATCAGTTATGCCTTAAGTGATTGTAAACAGTTGAGAAAGAAATCAGAAGAGTATCAGCACACTGGATCTCTGCAATAGGTCTTAAAGTGACAGCAGTCTATACTGTACTGGCTCCTGTCAGTGTCATCAATGTTAATCAAACTAGAAAAGAGAAAATCTCTCACTGTTCAGTGATCTTACCACAAGGGTCTAATTTTATCGTCTTGCTTCAAAATAAAAATTATAAATTTCACTCCTCAAATCCAAAAACATTGATGTGTCCACAGATCCTTTGTTAACAAATAGACAAAAAACTCTAATGACCCACCCGCCTTAATTTTTTCTCTTGACCATAGCACAAACTGTACCCTACATAATGCTTCATATATATATATATAT